CCCCCCCCCCCAAAAAACCCCTTACCCCTCAAAATCCCCACAACAGTCTCCCATCTCCACCACTTAACTAACACAACCAGCCTATCTCCTCCTCTCCACCTGCCTAGGAGAAACCACACGTGCACATCTCCGTTTTCGGTTCAACAGGACCTACATGCGAACCATCACGTCCTCGGGCCAGGGAACCTGGAACCAGATTGAGATGGAGGATATGCTTCGAGATGAGGATGACGCTAATTGGGATGAGGGGAGTGAAGGGAGTGAGAGTGAGGTGGATAGCCATCGGGATTGAGTTGAGTTGCTCACGACCCTCGGGTGGTTTTTGTCATGATGGATGAATGATGAAGTGTCATGAGAGAGGGCGTTGATTTGACTTATTTCAGAGTTTCAATGGGTCTAACTAGGTATGAAGCTCGAACGGATGGGTGAGAGAAATCCGATACGATGAGATGAAGAAAGAAAGAAAGAAAGAAAGAAGAAAGCTAAAACTCAATATCCCCCTTCCTAACCCTCCTTCCCCCTACCTCCAACCCCCGCCCCTCCTCCTCCTTCGCCTCCCCATCCCCCTTCACAGGCGGCAAACTATACGGCCTAATAACCATCCCCCGTCTCCTACTCAGCGAAAAACTCAAATCATCGCCCATCCCACTACCCCCACCTCCTCCACCACCCTTCTCATGGACCACCGGTAAGCGATGGATGTTGACCATTCCTTGTGGCGGCTCCTCGCTCACGGTCGATGCGGCCGCTGGTTTGGCGACGATTGCGGAGCTGGGGAAGGGGGAGAGTTCGAGGACCCCGTCGGAGAGGAGCTCGATCCAGCGGGTTAGACCGGTGGAGCGGGGGGAGAGGGGGAGGGGAAGGGTGATGAGGAGGGCTAGGCGGGTGGGGTATTTGCGGAGGAGGGCGCGGAGGGTGTGGAGGAAGGGGAGGATGTGTGTTGGGTTGGAGGTGTGGGAGGGATAGAGGGCGGGGGAGAAGAGGTTGGGGATGGCGAGGCGGTGGATGGTTGTCGGTGGGGAGTTTTGGAGGTTTGTTGTGAGGTGGTGGATGAATTTTGTGAAGGGGGAGAGAGAGGGGGAGGAGTCGATGAATGTGAGAGTTGGTTGGGCTGAGAGGGGGATGAAGTGGATGTTGGATGGTGAGGGGAGGATTAGCCGTTTGCTGAGGTCGAAGTCGTGACAGAAGATTGCTGGTTCAGAACTGGAAGTTGGTGTTGATTGTGGGAAATTCCTTTCTAGAAGCAGATACCATTAGTTTCTGAGAATATGTATGTATATAATATATCTAATCCGATATGTACAAAATCAAAAAAGGACCAGGACCACCCACCTCTTGCACCTCCACCGATCGTAGCCCCAAATTCCCCCAATCTCTCATACCGCCATGCAATATTCATCTTCTCCTCACCAACCTTGACTTTCTTCCCTTTACTCCCATCATCGCCGGACCCAAGTCCAGGAAGTTCTCTCCCCCACCCCTCAGGCATTCCCAATACATGGATAGTATGTTTCTGCACCACTCCCTCGGCGACATAATATTTTAATAACGAACCAGCGAAATCTGTCGTCCCGCTTTCTTCTATCAGTAATGATGTCCCGAGTGCAAGACCGGCATGGCCTGCGAGTAAAGCATCGAGGGATCGTGTTCCCGTCGAGGTTGTGAGCCTTCCATCGAGGGGTGAGGGGCGCGTGCCTGGTGGGTGTTTGGGAATTGCTGCTGCTGCTGTAGATCCGGGAATTGGATTTGGGCGGCCTAGTGGATTCGGTGAGCCAGGTCCAGGTCCAGCTTGAGGCACAACGATTCCTCTTTTGCGGAATGACATTTTGTTGAATTGGTGTGTAAAGTTGGTGGAGGAGGAGGAATCCGACTTCGAAGACTTGAACTTTTTCTTGAGCCTGACGCACGGACCAATACCCGTGCAGCGACGAATCAAAACGCGCGAGTCACCTCAGCCTCGCGCTGCTTTCGACTTCAAATTTTTGGAACAAAGCTCCTCCTTCCCTCTCAACCTCGTCGCAAACCAACCATCCCAGCACCCAACCCACTCAAACCGAGTCCTCAATCGCGCCGCCATCTCTCCCAATCTACCTCCATTCTACAAACCCCCCAAAACCAAACTTTAAAATTCCGCAAAAATGGCATCAACAGGCGACACCCAACTCTTCGACGAGAACTTCACCATCACCGCCGTCGACCACTCCAAATACGACCGCGTATGCCGTCTCTCCGCCGTCAGCGGCGACAACGCAACAACGATGAAGCTGGACATCAATCTGCAGCTGTATCCCTGTTCCGTGGGGGAGAACATGCGCGTGGTGCTGGCGACGAGTCTGGCGCTGGATGGAAGTAAAGATGATGGACGGGGATGGAGGGATGTTGCGCGGAGCGATGCAGAGCCCACGATGGCGGATATGTTTGATTATGTTTGTCATGGGAAGATCTATAAGTTTGAAGATGGGTCGGCGGATGGGGATACTATGTGAGGTTTTTCTTGGTTCTCTTCGTGGTTTTGTGGAGGGATGGGGAGGGTGGTCTTTGTTGAGTGTGGATGTGTGATTTGAGATCTTGTGCTAACGTGACATATAGTAAGGCATACATTTCATTCGGTGGATTGTTAATGGCACTTGAGGGACCCTACAAGAAACTCACCCCATTAAGAGTCGACTACGTCTATCTTCTCTGTAAGAAATAGATGTACTGGAGCGGGAAAGAATAATGGAATAATGATAGATGATGCATTGAGGAACACGAACTCTCAAAAGCGTGCAGACCTCGAAAAGAAACACAACACAATGCATATCAGCGGTGTATTGGGCGTTATGGATACCAAAAGCGCAAGAAGTGCTGTTAAGAAAACTCGACCAAGGGGAGCCAGTTTGAGCTCATGGAGTTGGATGGTGGTTGGCTTTTTGATATAGAATGAGATATCAAGAATAGAAGCCCTACCATCTTCTATTTTCAAAGAGTCGCTATCCAAAATACCCTTTCTATACTAATGTATAAAAACAAATTCCATCACGTTGTCAACGTAAAGATAAGATTTTCCGTAGCGACGGGTGTTTAGCGAAGCAGCGGAAGGCTGGAGCGTACTACCAAGTAGAAGGTTCATCCAATTGCGTGACTAGCATGACACGACATGACATGTTACAGTACATAAACGCGCTAGAGGTCAACTCTGCTTCTGCGTCTGCGTCTGTTATCAGTGCATTGTTATCGTGTTGAGAGATGTGGTGGAAGGTTGGAGATGGTGGTGTTTGTGATGTTGGTATGGTATGTTTTGTTGTGCAAAGGAGACTCGGTAGTGGACGGGTTCTGGCCACTACTGGCGTGGGGGGGATCATCTAGTTGAAACAAGGGAGTCGTAAACGATACTCGTAGTCAGACACTGTTTGTTGCTTACGATCAGGATCATCAGGTCACGTTAGCGTTTGTTTGGAGCTTCCTTTGGACTGAACCTTGTGGGTAGACCGTAGAGGTGGGTGGAATGTGGCTGAGATGGGATGTATTAGTTCTTGGAAGAGGAGCTGAGTGAGGGATCGTGAGATTGCGGCCGAGTCCCGACAGAGTTATTATTGGCAAAATGGGACCTTTCTCTTGCCTCATCAGTTCCTGGGTCTTGGGTAGGATGACCTGGAGGGGATGGATGTACTCGGTAGGTATCAAGAATTGGTTCTTCCCAACTGCTGGGATTTCTCTCGAGCGAAAAATACCTGGACCCGGACCCGGTTTGAGAGAGGATTGGAAACAACGTTAATTAGTTTGACGGAGATCATCGAGGAGGCTGATGTCATGGTTCTTGTCTTTTTTTCCCATGCGGATGTATTTTTGTAACATGTTGATTGTTGAATACGTAGACGGGTTGTATCTCGTGATGGTTGATAAATTTAGGATGGCGTTGTTGAGAAGTCGTAATCCTATCGTGGAAGAATGCAGGCCTCGTAATAATGGTCGCTGGCTCGCTGGGTCAGACCGAGACGAGCGAGAATAATACGTCGCCTACTAGTATCTGCACTCCGTACCACCTGTACCCTGTACACTAATCAGCCTGCCGAACTGTTGTGCATAGTGTAACTAGCGTACTGTACCTAGGTAGGTAGTTGAGGTTAAAGTAAGGTTATATCCTACCGGATAAATTAATCACCTACTGGTTTTCTTTTGGCTCTTGAGTGTCCAAATATCCCCACCATGAGGTAGCATCCGAGCATCGCGTATCCCCTTCAAATGCATAAATAAATGCCAAGTACCTTCCGTATCGAGGTCGGCATCATGACGTGAAATCCCCATACTTCGCACCGTAGGCCGTACATACGGAGTACATTGATGCTGGTTGCAGATTGGTCAAGACGTTCCAATTCAGTGGGCAATCCCCCACTCACCACCAAGTCTCCTCACTCCCCTCTCTCGTCTCCGTGATTCCCCCCGTCGGGGCTGTAGGGACCCTGGAGGTCGTCAGCCAGTCAATGGAGTCGGAATCTCACGTTCACGGCGAATGCATAGCCTGCACGTCGCTCATTCGTCAGATGCTATTTCAGGCCCTTCCAGCACAAGCCTCTGCTGGATGCAACCAAGGAAGAAAAGCGGTCGTATTATGTAGGCGCTAGTCTCCTTCCGGCCTAGCTCACTCTTTTCTTATCTGCCAAGCCGCACCCGGGTCCAGCCTTTTTGAGTTTTGCTTGTGAGAGGGCTGTACCTTGCGAGCCCATCAAGCCCATGAAGCCCATCACAAGCAGGCCGGGCAAAAGCAGGCAACCGCACCAAGACCACCAGAGACCACTCATCCCGGCTCAGCAACGAAAGAAATCCCGAGCCTTCGCCATCGTCTGCAATCTACTCGTACATTTCCTCAAGCTGCAACACAACAAACCACGGCCAACAGCCTCAGAACCGTATAATTCACTACACGACACTCGTTACAGTATTACGCTCATCACCACCAACCGACTCTCTCACCCATACACCATCATCCCTCTTTAGTCCCCGCGACTCCTTACATTCGTTTCCGCTTTCGACGTCAGACGGGTTCCCTTTCAATGCATTCGCCATCGGCCACTTTACCCAACAATTAGACAGTTCAACACCACCACCTCACCTCAATTACGTGAAGGATACATCCAGTTGAATTCCACGACCGCATTCAACTCTTCAACTCATCACATCCATGGGTAAATGTACGTTGGGCCCCTCCTCGACCCCTTTCCACCACCCGCTCGAGGCCTGGATGCTAACGATGTTTGCTTTCAGGGCGATGGGGTGTGATCCTGGACGCGGGTTCGTCAGGAACTCGAGTCCACGTTTACAAATGGCTCAACCACGCCAAAGCACTACACGAGGCCAAACCGGCCGAGCTGAAGAGTTTGCCACAGATAGAGACCAAGAAACGATATACCAAGAAGATCAAGCCAGGTGTGTCGACATTTGGTGACCATCCTCAAGATGTAGGACCAGATCATTTGCAACAACTTCTCGACCATGCATTGGGTATCGTTCCTGCCGATCAAGTCAAGGACACGCCAATATTCTTGATGGCGACGGCGGGAGTGCGGTTACTGGAGCCTATGAAGCAGACGGCTCTGTTGAGTGAGATTTGTTCCTATGCCAAAGCACACTCCGATTTTTCGTTGCCAGATTGCGATTTACATATTCAAGTAATCCCCGGAGAGACGGAAGGACTGTACGGGTGGATTGCGGCGAATTACTTATTAGGGGGGTTCGATGCGCCTGATAAGCATGTACACGGGCAAGGACACCACACGTATGGATTTCTCGATATGGGGGGCGCTTCAGCACAAATTGCCTTTGCCCCAAACAGTACAGAAGCAGAAAAGCATGCCAATGATCTTAAATTACTGCGGATGCGTACCTTGAATGGAGAATCGACAGAGTACAAGGTATTCACAACAACATGGCTAGGATTTGGAGTAAATCAAGCAAGAGAGAGATATGTGGAGCAACTTATGGATGCGCAATTTACCAAATCACCCCACGAAACACCAGATCCATGTCTTCCAGCCGGACTAATTACCACTCTCGATGGAAAGCCTGTTCCAGATAATCATGGCAAAGAACCATTATTGGTAGGAACTGGAAACTTTGTTGAGTGTACTGCTCGAACCTATCCTTTACTCGACAAAGATGCACCTTGCGCAGATCAACCTTGTTTATTACATGGTCAACATGTTCCTGCCATCGATTTCGACGTCAATCACTTTGTAGGTGTCTCGGAGTACTGGCACACGACTCATGAAGTATTTGAAATGGCACACAAGGACAAAACGTACAATTTCGTCCAGTATCAAAAATTGGTAAAGGACTTTTGCGCGACAGAATGGGATGATCTTGAGAGTGAGGTTGCAGAGAAGAAATGGGGAAAGAAGGTCAACGAAAAGACAGCACAGGAATTGTGCTTCAAGGCAGCTTGGTTGATTAGTGTTCTTCACGATGGTATTGGGGTTCCAAGATTGGAACTCGATAAGGGAGTTTCTGGAAAGGGTTTCAACAAAACGAAGGAACTTGCAAGCCATGCAAAAGACAAGACGTTTTTGGATCCATTTCAAGCTGTCGATAAGATCAAGGGTATGGAAGTGAGTTGGACTTTGGGAAAGATGGTATTATACGCAGCAGGACAAATCCCACCCGCGACTCCCCAGGCTTTAGCGGTAGGATTTGGAAGTAATGAAGCGGGAATACCAACCGATTTTCAAGAAGCCGGATCGAATTCGAAACCGATGCCCTTCGTGGATGAGGACGATAATTGGTCAGAGGTTGCTGAAGATTTAGCTGAAAAGGCCCATCGCTCAACGCCCACTTTCTTATTCATCATGATCTTTTTAGTTTTCATTGGTTACTTTTTCCGAAAACGAGAAAGGAGACTTCGTCTGTACCGAAAGGTTGAATCCACCATACGTCGGAACCGAGGACCTGGGAGTCCAAAGAGGAAAGGAAGCCGTGGATTCTTTGGAACTGGGAAGCTTTTTGGTGGAAGAAGCTCTGCAAATTATGAGCGAGTTCTGGAAGATGGTGATGGAGCCAATGAATTCGAGCTCGGAGATTTGGAGTCGGATGATAATGAGCATTCTGATAGCAGTGGCAGCGAAGGTTCCCGTGTAGGGCGTGCCTCAGGACTAGCAACACCACGGTTGAAAGTCACGCATTTTGAGTCTGTAGGAGCGACGAGTTACTTTGATTCTGCGCCCAAAGCATCAGGCGGACAAGGCATTGGGTTGGGATTGAATGGCGGCAGTGCACTGCCCAATGCTATGGACCGAAGTGGATTGGTCGTCCGAACCGAGAGTAGGGAGAGATTAGTGCCGACTTTACAAATGCTTGGGGCGGGGAGGAGGAGTAGAGCAGCTTCCCCGACGCGAAAACCGAGTCCACTCATGACGCCTTTGGAGGAGGTATGAGTTTGAGGGTAGAGGATGCGCTTTCTTTCATACGACTTCTCTTCGCAAACACCCTCGACGGACAAACCGATTGTTTTTTCTCTGAACCGGTTAGGATTCGGTATCTTCTTTTCTTGCCACGCTACGAGACTTCCTATCTTGTCTCGAGCTGCTGGCCCTATTTTTCTCTATACATACAACAACAACACTTTCTTCACACCACACGGTTTCCACCCCATTTACTTTTTTCCCGTACCCGAAAAATGGGGTACACTTTATTAATACTGGTCTGGGTACATAACTCACTGTTCTTCGTGGATGGTACCCAGGCACTTGAACGATTACACTTTTGGACGATGGAGTTTTCGTTTTTACTTTTTGATGGGACTATTTTTGGCTTTCTGCTTTTTCTTGCCCTTTCTGCCTGGCGAGCGAAGAACTGGGGATGGGATGAACCTGTTCTTGCATGGCGATGAGGCTTGTCGTTCCCTTTTTATTTTGATTGATTGCGCTGTCTTTGGATGGTTTGAATGACTTGCATGGGGTTTGGCGTATATACATACTCTTTTTGGGAGTCTTCTTTTTATGAGGAGTTTTTTTGATGGGGGAGGAGGGGATGGATGGGATTGTGAGGTAAGATGGGATTGTGGGGTGACATGAGGTGAGGTGAGGTGAGGGGAGTTGGAGTGGAGATGGAGAAGGGGGATTGTAGAGTAGATAGATAAGTAGGTAGCTCTGTTGTTAACAAGAAATGAAATGATATGATATTAATGAATATTTGAGGGGTTTGAGTGTATTGTCAGTTGATATAAGACGTGGGATATAAGATATAAGATGTAGGATATATAATAATCTCAGCGTTCGACATATAGAATTCCTTTCCATTCTATTCCATTCCAGAACCCCCTTAGAATATTCCGTCTTTACTAGAAGCCCCTCTAAAACACACTATATTCTATAGTAAAATTATCGAATTTTAGAATAGAACTTATAAAGTTATTACATAACCTAAAAAGTAGTCTACTATCTATAAGTTATTCCGTTTACTCTACCTAGTTAGTAGAAGTCTTAGAAGTAGTCTTAGTACTATATATGTTAGTTAAATATAGGTAACGTACTTCATAAGGAGTCCGGATTTATAAGGAATCCGGATTTTTTACCCCACCATTGACCACCCTACACACTTTCAATCTACATAACTTACCCAATTATTGTTCAAATGTCTCGAAAAGAAGGTCAAATTGCTCTTGCAATCAGTGCATACAATAAGGGTCAATTTACAAGCTTAAAAGCAGCTTGTACAAGGTACGATGCGCCATATTCTACTACTTACGACCGCGTCAAGGGAGCTATTCCACAACGCGATTTCCGACCCCGAAACCAGAAACTCACCGACCTCGAGGAATCAGCACCTATACAATGGATGTTATCAATGGAAGCTAGAGGTCTGCCAGTACGGAAAGATTCGATACGCCAAATGGCCGATTTACTACTGGAAAAGCGAACTGGAGTAGGTCGAATTATTGTCGGAAAATGCTGGGTTGACAACTTTATAAAGCGCCACGACTCTTTACGGACGAAATACACTCGTAAATACGACTATAAGCGCCGAAAATGCGAGGATCCTACGATTATCCGAGATTGGTTTCGATTAGTACATAATATTGTTGCGAAATATGGTATACTAGCGGAGGATATATACAATTTCGACGAGACTGGCTTTCAGATGGGAGTAATTGCGACCGCAAAAGTTGTTACAGGGTCAGAATATACAGGACGGGCTATTCATATACAACCAGGGAATCGCGAATGGGTTACAGTTGTCGAATCAATTTGTGCAGATGGATGGGTGTTGCCTCCAATGGTTATATTTGAGGGCAAGGTGCATATATCGACTTGGTATACAGATCAATTACCAGCAGATTGGACAATTGCACTTAGTGATAAAGGGTGGACCAATGATTCCTTAGGTCTTAAGTGGCTTTCAGACGTATTTGAGAAATATACCAAGGACCGTGTAAAAGGAGTATATCGACTTTTAATCCTCGATGGCCATGGTAGTCATTCTACTCCCGAATTCGATCTTTTCTGTTCAGAACATAACATCATAACGCTTTGTATGCCACCGCACTCATCTCATCTTTTACAGCCATTAGATGTTAGTTGCTTTGCAGTTTTAAAGCGACTTTATGGACGAGGAGTCGAGGAGCTAGTACGAGCCGGCACATATCATATCGATAAACCAGACTTCCTTTCAATATATCGTGTAGCCCGTACAAGTACTATGGTCAAAAACACAATCTGTAATGGATTCGCAACTACTGGCCTTGTCCCGTACAACCCAGATCAAGTATTGAGTAAATTACATACTCAATTACATACGCCTACTCCTCCTTTACTTTCTCCAAACCTACTACCTTGGGTCCCTGAGACACCCCATAATACATATGAGGCAGATCAGCAAACCCAGACAATTAAAGCATCTATTAAACGACGTACAAACGTTCTCTCAAGCCCTACTGCTATTGCATTAGATCAATTGGTTAAAGGGTGTAAGATGGCTATGCAATCAGCTACGGTTTTGGCAGAGGAAAATCGACGTTTACGAGCTGAATCTGAACGTCAAAAGAAGAAGAAGACTGTGCGACGTCAATATATTGCTACTGGGGGTGTTCTTACAGGTCAGGAAGGGAGGGAACTTATTCAAAATAGTGATAATATGGTTTTGGATGAAGCTGTGGCCCCGCTAATTGAACCACGAATTCGTGCACCACGAACCTGTAGTATATGTAGATCACTAGCGCATACTGCTCCTAGGTGCCCAGATCGAGAATAAGAAAGATAGTATAGTTTATATAAATAAATATTAAGTGGTTAAAGTTCTATGGTTTTTAAAAGTTGGATGGTGGGGTAAAAAATCCGGACTGCTTATAAATCCGGACTCCTTATGAAGTACGTTATCGGGTATTTAGGGGGGATGTTATAGTGTCAAGTAATTTAGTAGTATATTCATTTAATGTAGTAGATAGATAGATAGGTTATTAGGTACTTTTAGTTTTTGTAATAAATAGTTAGGGATAGGGATAGGGCTTAGTTGGGTTTCATTACTCGAGTAGTTTATTAGTAATAAGAATATATTATACGGTTCTTTTAAATTTTAAAGTTCTAGAGAGTTAAATCGTCTTCTTTAGAATAGTCTATTTTATTTTTAAAAAGGGGCTAGAATGTTTTATATAGAATAGAATCGTATTCTAGATACCGAATACTATTAAGATATTAAGTAGGTAATAAGTAGTTTTTATATTACGCGCTATAAATTACTTTTATAAAAACCTAGGGCGTTAGTTTTAGAGGGATAGTAGATTAGTCGATAGTAAATCGTAGGTAGCGTAAGAACGAATTACTTACTTATTTAATTAGTAATTAACTAAGTTATAATCAAATAGATTAGATTTAGATTAGGAACTTTAGGTAATTAAATAGATTAAGAGGCGTTTATTTAATCTAATTAATTAGATTAATAGTATATATTTTAAAGTACTACTAATAGACTTAGAGAAGCTTTTAAAAAGACTAATAAAGAGATAAAACAAAAGAAAACATCTAGTAGATAATAACTGTAACGAATACTCAAACTGGCTAACTAAACTTGGCTGGGTGTTCGCTGGTTGGTATGCTATGATAAGAAGAAGACTATCGGGTTGTTCACTTGGAAGTGAACTCGTTACTTGTATCAAAGATGTCAAACTGATATGATAAGATTGATAACTAAGTTGATAACTAAGTTGAGCACGAAGCTCCTATCTAATGGCAGACATGCCAGTGTTATA